GAGTCAAAACAAGTTTATTTCGCTATAAACTGTCAAACCTTAGCTCTAAATGCCGCCCATTATTACGGCTAACAAAATATATATAATTTTTTCTAAAGAAATCTTTTATATTACGGAAGAAGTTTTTGTGCATTTATTATACAATGATATACAGAGAGAAGTCATACGTTTAACGCCGTGTTTGTGGTGTTTGTGTGCATTTCAAGTCCTATGGTTTCGTATGTATTCCCGCATTCAATATACGGTTTATTCAAATATTTGATATTTCAAGAGCAATGTCTTCGTCTTCAACGATGCCCTCAGGTTTCGGTTTAGAGGAGAGCATAGAGAAGATGGGAGGGGAGGGCAGGGGAGGGCAGAGAAGGAGAGAGAAATTTTTGCATAACATTATAACAACATTTTCAAACAACATTTCTCATTGAATGCCTCGCTTTCGGGACCCAATGTTTATGATAGAGTGGCTGACAGTCGACTCTGTATTATAAATATCTATTTCTCCAAAGTATTTATATCTAATAAAATATGAAAAATGTATTCAATTGAAAACATTAGAATTTTCTAAATTATCAGAGCATTAAATATTTGTTTCATATACTGTACGAGTCATAGAAACTATTGTCGAAACAATTACAGTGTAATATAAAGTTGCGGAACAACTCTCGCACAATACACTACTATAACTACAATATACTATACAATAGTGTACTCAGTATTTCATAAAACTAAGGAAAACAATGAATACTTGTTGTTAATAAGAGTTATAAATTCAAAGTTATTGCCGGAAACCAAATGAAAACTCATTTAAGGGATGCAATGGTTTGATGATAGTATAAAAATCGCAAATTGAAAGAATAAAAATTAACAAATCATATGAATCACAATTAATGCAAACAATGGTTTTGATATACAAACTAATCGTGTTTATAAATTATGCTGACTTTGACTTTAATTAAGATTCAGATTCAAAACAATGTCTTATCTCTCAATTGTTGTGAATCTTCAATGTTTTATCTCATAAGTGGTCAGACGTTTAGATTTTTATAATAATTTATTACTCAATGCATAACCCAATCCCAAAATATGAAGTCCTCCTCTTTGTTTAATTTCAAAGTGTTTGTGCCTTATGTGAAGTGACCCTAAAATATAATTGTGATCAATATAGAGATACAAGTATCTCTCGAGATATTTTCATATTTATAATCAATAATTGTTTTCTATGCAAAAAATCCCAAAAATATTTATTCAAAGTGTGAGATATATTCGCAGAACAAACACTTGAGTGTGAGATGTGTTTCACAGATTCAATAAATTCAGGACAATATCCTTAAAATAGGAAAAATCAGGACTCAATGCTAATCTCAATTGAATATCACTTTTAAACATACGTTCAGTTGTGTTACAATTGAAAGGAATTGAAAAAAATAAAAATTTAATCATATATTGAAATATCATATAAAATACAGGAAAACCTTTGGCTTGAAATAAATAGTAAAAATATTCAGATAGTGTTATCTAATATTTGGTTTATTCAAAACATTTCCTACAAAACAAAATCATATATAAATTCAAAAAGCACTAAATCCGTATTTTAGTTTTCGTTTGAATAAAAACATGAAATTAATACTTAAATTCGTTTAATAATGTTTTCTTTTGTCTTATTTATCCTTATTTTTCAATTCAGGGTTTTTCACGAATTTATTAACATTCGGAGCTATTTATCCTCAAAGAAAATACAGTGAATTATTTAACACGTTTATAAACAACATAAACACTAAATTAAAACCATAGATTAATTTTATAAATGAATATATTTGTTATATAATTCTATTAAAAACAGGGAAAATGGAAATTTTTGTTTTTAGACTACATTTGAATACATTCAATTACAACAAATTGAATATTGCATGAGAAACGACATAAGGAGTCCATTGTCACCGTCTAGTCCTACCAAGGATTAAGAAAATCAAAACCAATTCCCTCGGGAAATGCATTTTATATAATAATAATAATCGGTTTACAGCTAATCACAATATTTAGTTTCCATTCAAAAATAGCAGATTTTAATTATTGCAATGAAGTCATACAGAACTTTCGACAATATTAATGAGTGGAATATAATTATTATTCACAATAATAATGATATAATACCTTTAATAACACAAACAACATAATTATTAGAAATATATCGATGCTATGCTAAAATGGTGTGGCTGTAGATAAACAATTTTGGCTGGACTTCAAAATAAATCTATTTTTGTGTTGAAAACTTATTCAAAATTCAAGATTTAAAAATTAGAAATTCACTTATAAAGCATACTTTAAATGAATAACTATCATAATTTCCATACATTATCTTTGATTAAATCTCAAGTCTCGGGATCTTTCTAAAGATTTCAACATCACTTTAATCATAATCATAATATTTTAATTCAAATTTGAGTGCAATTCCATTAATAAATAAAAGAAATTGTTTATTATAATAAAATTATTAAATATAAATCATACGAAAATATTTAATTAAAAGCCAAGAACTTTATATTAAAATGAATTAGTTTTTTGTGCTTTGCATTAATTATGGGATATGTTGTCATTACAGTATAGACATTGACGATAGGAGTGGTAAGGACTGGAGGCTCACTAAATAACAGTATAGGACTGGCCATTGCCGGAAGGGCTGACAGTTGAGGCATAACTGAACAGGTGGTGGATATGAACAGTTGCAGTGAAAACAATAGTGAACAGTATTGTCATTACATGTTCAAACTTAATGCCATAGTTTGGTCATTTTAGAAAACTAAATAAATTTATTAAATGAAAGCTTTTTACGAATAATATTTCAAATATAAATCACAAACACAAATACCACATAAATAATTGTAGATTACAATAGAAGTATGTCTCGTAAACCAAATAGAGCTCAGGTATGCAACAGTTATGTAAGTATGGGTGCATAAACTGCTTCAACTCATTAAACAAATTAATAGTTTTAGGTATAAGTTTGTGTTGGAGTCGAGACATACTTTCATTTAAGTTATTCACAAAATGTCACAAATTTTAGTTTCGACAAAATATTTAGATAAAAATGTCTGTGAAATCACTAATAATTTTTTACCAAATGAATGAGTTTGAATCTTGTATAAAAGACTGGTAATAAATATAGTGTGTATAATATCTTATATTTAATATATTTTATATTTTTATTGCAAACATCAATAATGAAAAATAAAACAAAATTGCTGTTATTAAAATTAATATGATTTAATTTATTAACCAATTTGTATAATAAGTAACAAAAATGTTTATAAGAGTTTATAAAAATTCTTTTCAATTAAATTGAATGAAAAGCTTTTTCATTTCAATACATTTTGTTCATTGAATAGACTTAAAGCTAAATAAACTTTTATTATTTTGAGAAAAGAGTTGACGAGAAAAATGTTAGACTCTTTCAAATACAATGATAATTAAGAACTGCTTAAGTATTACTCAAATTGTCTAAAATTGCTATTTTTATAGTAAATTATTTCCTTAAACATTAAAATACACTCAAAACCTAATATATACTGTTTTTATTGTTTTCTCCAAACAAATGGAAATTTGTATTGAAATATAAACTAATATTTAATTTAATTATAAATTCTTTGAATGAATGAATAAAATGCTTACCGATTGATGTGATTGTTATAGAAATGCATTGAAATAATACAATATATAAGAAGTGATTGAATGTCTTGAAACATGTCATACAATTAAAAGGCTTTACTTTCGACACTTTCTTCATATTATAATCACTTTGAGATCAAACACTGTTTATCATAACTTTGATCCCTTTACTAAACAAATGTCATTAATGTAAGCAAAACTTCAAACACTTTTAATTAAAATCATTGGCCTATTGACAGATCAGGAAAACACGTGAAAAACTTTATTCGTATTCATAATTAATAAGCGATTGGTTTGAAAATTATTAAATATATTTGAATTTCATTAATAATTAATAAATACAATAAAATTGATTAAAATACTAAAACAATTCAGTTGTCATCAATTGGAGAGTCTGTTGAGTGTATGAATGAATCGATTAAAAGCAGAAAACTTTGATTGTGTTAATCCATTAAAAGAGAAAAGTTGTGAAAAGTTGTCTCAAATGACATATCAATAGATATGACCACAATTTGAGCTTCAAATATGTGTTGAGACAAACTTGAGTCCAACTATGGATTGGAAGCCATTCTTAGACATAATGTGAGTACAACTTAAGGCATAACTGGTCTCAGAGTGTTAGACAACTGTTGAATGCCTTCAATACAACACAACTCTGTCTGACATGAGTTTCCATACATTTAAAGCCAAACTCCTGTATATCCTATTGAGGACAACATTGGCTGCTCTCATGCCAGCGCTTCCAGTGTTGGCTCTTTGAAACTCAGGAATTCACACAACCATTGAGAATACATAGAGAACAGCACAGGTATTGCAAACACTTGTTCACTCGCAGTCTATGACTATTGAACTCAGGTAGACCTAACATAGCTATACAATATTGCCCAAACCTAACCTAACCTAACATACGGCAAGTGAACGGACATTAGGGATACAGCATATAAGAGTTGACATTACTTTTGCAAATTAATGATTAAAAATCACTGTTTTGTGTCAAACCATGACATGAATCAATGATTACTGCATAAACAATAATAAATGAACACATTGAGCATAAAATTCATTTAATTTAATGATAGAAAAAATATTAAAGAAATGGTCAAAACCGACAAAATAATTAAATACAATTAAATTAATCGTTTTGGTCGACGACCGGCGCGTCTGGTTTGGCTGCGGTGTCGTTGTCTTCGGCGTCGTCCACATCGTCGTCGTTGTCATCGTCCTCGTCGTCATCATCACCGGACACTTCCCTATTCTCCTGATCCAATTGTTCCAACTTCTTGGCCAGTTCTGCATCGTCTAAGTCTGTCACCACTTTAGGCTATAAACCAAAGCATTACTTATAGTGAGCCACAACTGCGAGTGCAGTGTATATACCGCCACTTGAACGATGAATATTCCTCCGGAATTCTTGATGGAAACCTCAATCTTCTGAAGCGCTTCGTTCAGCAATTCTAAGCCCTTTTCTCTATCCATGGTAGTGGTGGTCACCACATATAATGGCGGTGCGATTAAATTGATTTTGATGGGCATATCCTCCACAGAACAGGCAATACCGGCCCTCAAAGCGTTTTTCACGGCATCGATGCCCTCATAGGCACAACAGCCCACCTCTATGTCTGCCCTCACTTTGACCGCTTGAGGCATAAGTCGGCGCTTTATATGTGTCACCAAAACCTCTTTAGTCTTCTCGTCGAGCTCTAACTCATCCAAAACGGAGACATCACTAGAGTTGACATGAAATGAATGGTATTATTCAGAGATGTCTGGAGACATAATCATTGAGTGAATGAATACTTGACGGAGTGTTTGAACATATCATAAGAGGACGACTGTTTCTTCATCTTCTCCTCGAAAAGCCACGCAGTCTTGCGGTACAACTCTTCCAACTCTTTGTTGGACTGATAGCCCAGAATCTCGGCCACATGTCGCAAAATACTGTTCACCTGAACATCAAAATAGAGTCAAATCATAATCACAGCAATCATTGGCGACAATGAGTGTCATTACAGCCTTCGCTTTGGCGAACTTCTCTTCGCAGCGGACGATGTCTTCGGGAGAAACCCTTCGTTTCGACAAATCTATATAACCCTTGTCTTTGTCCACTCGGATCACAACAACACATTCGTTACGTCCCACACGAATCAGTTTATTGATGGATCGGATCCGACGCCGAGACAACTCCGACAACAGTATCATCCCTACAGACAATTCAATTGGTGTCAACTCAGCCACCGGTCACTCATTCAATGAGGCATACCTTCGATGTTATTGTACTCCAAGAGGTGGACATAAGCGCCCATTTCGGCGATGGAGCGCACGTTAACCATCACCACGTCATCCACTTCTGGGAACTTCTGCGAGTAGAACCGACACGTGAGTACCATTGTCTTCACCGATTAGCTCTTATTGGTCTATATATAGGTGTAAATGAGTTCAAATCGATTCAAATGGTGTCTCAAGAGGTATTGCATTCAAATGGTGACAACAGTTGACATGAAGTGATAATAAGCGCTAAAATGTGACACAAATTGTCTTCAATAGTGAATCAATTCAATGCAAAACGTGTGAACACATGTCAGCCAACTCTCACACCACATGACTATTGTATATCATATGCTAGTTTTGGTCCCTTTTTATGTACACATATTAACGTATAGAACAATATATTGTGTCCACAAAAAGGCATTCTTTCATTTCATTATATAATGGCATTCATTGATTAAAAATCTGATGAAATATTGCTATAATTTATGCAAAAATAGAGATTTAATTAAAATAATCGTCAAAATTGTGTGAATCGATGGCTAATCTATTCAAAGACACTCTTCAGTCTTCATATTACGCCAAATTCAGACCACATCCGCCCAAAGAGATCATTAATGCCATCAAAAGTTATTTGAGTGAAAGGATAGGTGCGTCCGAATGGTTGTGTGCGGTGGACGTGGGCTGTGGTAACGGACAGTGCACTCGACCCCTGGCTGAGCACTTCCAACGGGTGTATGGCTTCGACACGAGTGCCGCTCAGATCGAGGCAGCCGTTCGTCTCAACACTCGCGACAATATATCATATGATGTGAGACCAGTTTGTATGACATTTATGTCTTATACCGGTATCTTATGATCATAAGACCCATTCCTCACGAGACACTTACTCCACACCATACGTGGTAATTGTCTATCATATTAGTTATGATTAGCGTATACCTCAAACCAGTCATTACAGTATTTGTGAGTGTGATGGCCACCAAATGTGACCTAGCACAATCAATCCACTTTTAGTCAGTGTTTTATAGTTTACGGTTAGAAAAACTTTTCATAAAATTCTTGACAGTGAACTGGATACAGTATTAGAATAGCTACATAAATGATCCATACAATTTATATGAGTTTACATTCATTGATTGGTTTTATATAGCAATCCAAACAAAGTTATTGTGAGTTTTAGTAGAATTATTTTAAATGATCTCAGTTTATAAATTTAATATGATACCGGCTATTTTACCGGTAATGCTATAGAAGGCTTTTATACTAATTGGTTTATTCCTTATAATTGATTTAACAAGTAAATAACTTAACAAAGTTTTGACAAATAGCATTTAAATTGACATTCAATTGACTAAATAATTCAAATTTGGTAAAAGTTTTATGACTGACCCTTTGGTTTAACAAATTCCTATTAAAATACATAAACTGCTCATAAACTGCGGTTTAGTTTACTTTCTTTCATTATTATTTTTCATATATTACACTATAAATTGCGAAAACATTTTACTGCTAAATATTTAAATCTAAAACAGACTAAAATTAAATTATAAATACAAATAAGTTATAATAAATACCAAATGAACAAAAATAAGTGTATTTTCATTAACTGTAAATTAATGACTCATTAATAATGAGCTTTAATACTACAAGTTTTAATGCAATTAAATTTCGACACAATTTGCTGATACATTAAAACGTGGTGTGTTTGCGATTTATATAATTATTATTATATAATATAATGAAAGTAAATAATTTAAATTTTAATAGTGTTAACACTTTTCGCTATTCATCAAAAATATGCCAATTTTATGCTAATAAATCATTAGTTTAAAAGGATTTTATATGATTTTATAACAATTGCCAAATAGATTGCAATTTTTAAAGCGATTATTACTTGAAAAACATATTTCGAAATGCCTTAATGTTTAATAATAATTATGTTTTAAACAATTTTTTGTTATTGTATTTGACTTTAAAGATAATTAACAATATAAACAGTATATCTTACAATCTAGTTAGTTTAGAATTGAGGTCAAATTTCACTTATTATTTTATAAAATATAATTAGTTGATAAACAAAATTAATTTGTGGGACTATTTTTGAAGTATATTTCACAAACTATTTTTATTGCTTACGACTGGATACAGTGATTTACTTTGACTGCAACACTCGTATTTTATTTAATTTACATTTATTACAAGTTAATTAATTTTAGGATTATATTTATTTATAAGTAAAATAAAATTGTCAATAAGAGACAGTTGATTAAACTTTAAATTTATCAAAAATATGATCAAAAATTTTATTTTTAAAAATCTATTTGTAAATGATTTATTACTTATATCCAGATCCAGTAAGTGTAATGAGTTATTACTAATAACTTATTGGTCCTAGGCCCTAGTAACTAGGGTATCAATAAAACAATGAGGGTTAAATATATGAAATAACAACTACAGTATAATATGTTAATTGTTTTCATGCGGTGAGCCTGGTTATATTAAAAAATATATTATAATTATAAACATTATACTGTATTAGTGTAACTTGTACTGGTTAGATTTTGTGAACAATGAAACAATTCCTAATTTGAATTGAAACCATAAGATTATCTAAATGTCCTGAAATTGCGATAATAATGTAATATAAAAGACTAACACTGGATGTGAAATGAATTGTCTTCAGGTGTCACCGGCCGAGACGTTGTCCATAGCGAGCACTTCGGTTCAGTTGGTGACTGCCTGTCAGGCCTTCCATTGGTTTGATTTCAATAAATTCTACACAGAATTGAACCGTATTTTAGTTCCCAATGGAGTGATAGCTCTGTTGGGGTACCGAATGCCAGACGTCTCGCACCCGAACTTCCAGAATAACAACAGAATAAAGAATTTAATAAAAAGTGTTTATAAGAATCCGGCCCTCATTTGGGCGAAGAAGGAGCGGGAGTTAGTGGACGAGGGCTACGCCTCCGTCAGACTCCCCTTTGACGACGAGATGAGAAGCGATGCGTTTGAGGCTCAGGTGGACGCGACCGCCGAAGAGGTGAGGGGTTATGTGCTCTCGTGGTCCGGATATAACAGTCTGAAGCAAATGGACGAACAAAAGGCAAACCAGTTTCTCGACTCATATGACGAGGAGATTAAAAGCCTTTTCGGCGATAAAAGGTTTCATGAAATTGACTTAAAATTACATTTCAATTATTATCTATTAATGGCAAGAAAATCATCTTAAGGGTAATAATTGGGTCACTTTTTGAGGGTTTGTTTTTATACCTTATAATTAAACTGTTAATAGATTCACATATTGTATAAATAATACGAAATATGTTTTGGCATTGATTTTGATTGCATTTTTTCAAAGCCATTCAATGCCCAAAGGATTGTATTTACAGTATATTATTTTACAGAGTTTGTAAAATTTTGATAATTAATTAAAATTATATTGAATAAAATGTTTTATATATAATATATATAATAATATTATTCTTATATAAATTAGCAATAAATTATAGACTTATACGATACTAGTATTAATAGAAACAATAAAAGTTACACTATATGTAAACACAAAGACTTGCGAAATAAAAATCTAATGAAATTATAATACAGTATAATGTGTTTCTTGATAATTATTAAATAAATTTTAAATTATACTCAAATATTATTAAATTGAAGGACATATACAATACTTTAAATAAGTTATTCGATGAGCTCATTCATATGTAAATTAATTTTATTTAATACATTGATATAATAATTAATACCGGTACATTGAATTCTGTGTAAAGGTAGAGAAAGTTTAAGCGTTATATAAATATAATTTTATATAATATTAAACCAATTTATCCAGCTAACAATACTGAATCTGTAATCATGTTTTAGTTCAAAAGTTATTCTGACAAAAACTGTTTGATTGATTACTAGGTTAATTATTTCTTAAGACATAATTGCTTAGCATTCACTGTTTTATATAACATTTTTAATGCTATAGTATTGTGTGAATAATCTTTGGACTGCAAACTCGTAGAGTTTATATTCATTGACGAGAATTGTTTTCAGATATTGTTTTACTTCATTAGTTACGTTCACTTTATTTCTGTTTTTGTTGCCATGAATTTGTTTGCTCTGAAAATATAGTTCTGAAACTCCGGCAAAAAATTTAGGAATTTTGTGTTGCAATACATTTAATGTGATATTCATGTGCTCGAGTACTCCTATCACTTGATACGACTTCTCGATGTTATGTTTGGCCACTTCAAGAGCCCACTTGTCTCCCATTTGCAAGCATTTGTCACTTTGTCCGCAAAAATAGGGCACTAAAGACATGACAAACGAATTGTTGTAATTATAGGCACATTCCGGGTCTTTACTCTTCACACAATTTTCGAAACTCTAAAGAATTCACAGAATTTAGTCAATAAATTGTCAGTTTGTATAAAATATACTTTTCTAAGCCATGAATTGCTTGGTTTTATTCTTTGTGTTGAGTTATCATTAATTGCTTTGAAAGCAACACTTCTTCTGTAATAATAACTTGAAATAATCCTTTCGATCGGTTCTCGGATTAGGTTTATATAAATCGGGGGATTTAATACATTATGCGCTTTGAAATCTGTATACATTTGAATATTATAAAAAGATATAAGGAAAATCCAAAAAGGTATAGTCTTTGGATCACATTGAGATTATGTATTGACATGGACACTGTACAGTATGTTGTAATAAAATAAGTTAAATAAATGAAGAACCTATGAAGTATATGTGTCTGTCATATGAAAATGGCGAGGTGTATTGCATGAATCCTTTGATTAGATTTTCCTAAAATAACATAAATAATACAGTATATTATTAGCAATATTTTAATAAATAATTATTATTTAAATAAAATTGGATGTAAATAGTAAAAGGACTTTTGGTAAACCTGTTTAGTATCTACAATGTATGATTTATATGACATAAAAAGTGAAAGATATTCTTTATTTCCACAAACGGTGGAAATTCCTTAAAAATAATATATTTAACAAAAATTCAAAGTCAATGTCAGTGTCACAATGTATATAAAGAACTTTTATAAAATACAATGGTTAAAAGTTTTTATATTTAGTTGGAATTCAATAAAAAAAATTCACGGAAAACTATCAAATGTTATGAAATAAATCATTTGCTGTAATAATAATTCTATTGTCACATGAATTTGTCACATACATCTCATACAATTTATATTTTTTCACACAATTAATCAAATATAAGCCATTATTACTATAAATTATATGTATAGATATTAGTTAGCAAAAATAATGTAATGTAATAGCTTCAACTTGTTAATTACAATTTTGTATCATTTTAAAAAGTATTTAATTTATTTGTGTTTAGATTAAAATGTCAATAAACGGTAGTTAAGAAAACATTTTGGGTTAAATATAAAATATATTTAAGCACATAATACTGTATTAATAAAAAAAATTTAAGATCTGTTATATACAGTACAATAAATTATTTTGATTTTAATTTATAAAATAGAATTAATAGTAATTTTTAAAACCTTCCTATTATAAAATGTGGTATAAGAGGATAATTATTTTTACAAAAGTTGCAACTAATAAATTTTTTTAACAAAAAAAGAAAAATAGTAAATTTTATTTTATTTTAAAAGAAATATATCTTTTAAATGCTCAGTTCTAAAGAGCTTGATACAATTGTCAAGTAAATTCGGATATGATAATAGTGGAATATGTTTATTAGCATGATAATCTACTAAATCTAGCAAATGTCTATAAATGTCATACTTGTTGTTTAATGTCAAGCATTCGTTTGTCGTATATTTTTGAGTTCAAATGTATGAATCCATTGAGTTTTGATAGTTTTCTGAGAAGTGTGATGAGTGTAGTGCTCCCACACTTGGGAACCCTATTGTAGAAAAGGCGTTCCCCAGACATCACATCACACTTATTCTGATCTTCACTTTTCACTTCAAATTCATTCATGTCTTTGGATTTCAAACTGGTTTTGACTTTTTTATGTAACACTGAAGATAGTAATCCATATAATAGTGTTCCACATAAAGACAATACTAATAATCTGATTAAAAATTGTCAAATCATAATTATATTAAAATAATATATAATAAAGGGTTTACTGAGAAATTTGCTATAATAAGAAACAATTAGTTTACAAATAAGCATTATTAAAAACCCTTATTTTTAAATAGGTTATAAATAAAAATTACTAATTCTTACTTTAATATAATTGTAAGATTTTTGGAGAATTTTCTCTTTAAATGTTTTGCCAGATATTTCCTAAATAAATGAATTTTATAAAATTATTTGTTGTAATTTTTTTTTTTCAGTAAAATTAATTAATTTAATAAAAATACAAATACTGTAATCATTCTTAAAAATTAATTTATAATTACTTACATTAGCACTTTTAAAATATTGCAATTAAATTAAATTATATGATTATAGTTGAATTATAACTATATTTAAAATCAATTTAATTTAGAATAGTGTAATTGATAAAAATTATTTGTTTTTATAAAATAACTATTAAGCCTTGTAATAAACTCCAGACATTTGTATAATTGCATAATAGATACATTTAAAAAATAAAAATTACCGGTATATTTTAAAAGTTTGAGTTTCACAATGAACTATAAACTTGGAAATTCACTAGAAATATGTTTTCTATTTATTCAGTCCTAACTAAATATGAATTTTAAAATCCTTTTGAATGACAACGCCTTTAAGTGATCTAACAGTGAGAGTCGAGAGATATATGAGATTTGTCTGTCAAATAACTTTAGGGTTCACTCATATATTTGTGCCTCAATTCTGTGTCATTTGTGTCATACATGTGCTCTCAAATTCATTTCATATTTATTGAAATTCATATTTATATTGATTTCATACAAAATTACTGTAATCAAATTGTTTATACTGTATTTTAAATTTAATTATCTGTCCGTAACAAAATAATGCAAAGTATCTTGTTTGTGAGTTATATTTGTCAATTTACATAAGAGTATTTAGTAATTAAATTTTAGTTTTTATTTAAAAATATGAAATAACTTGTTCAATAAGTTTTGATTTTAAAATTTCATACGATAATTAATATATTTTGTTTTTAGTTTTGGTAATTTTTATTAAATATTTTTCTTATATCTTTAGGCAATATCAAAATAAATTTATTTTTATTATACGTAACTAAATAATTAAATGTTTTTATTAATAATAATAATGAATATTTAAGTCTACAATTTTGAATCATAACAAATAGTGTACTACTTTGTATTAAAAATTTAAAGAATATACTTAATAATAAACAATATTATAATATGAATAATTCATTTACAGACAGGCGTTAGAGCTTGGTCAACTTATTAGTGATATTAACCACTAACGCCTGTCTGTGAATGTATAAATCATATGTAGTATTTAGTACTTGGTGCACAATAATTATACTAAATTTAATATACTGTAACTTATATTACAATTTTAACATTTAAAATCATTTTTAATTTATAAACATATTGACACAAAAATAATATTAAGAGTATTAATATTAAAAGAAAATTTTAATTAAAATTAATATTTTCATAAATCCTATTTATTTTATTTTATTTTATTGTTTTAATTAGAATTATTTTATTTAATTATTGTATTTTTAAATACTTAAATTAAATAAAACAAAATTAAAAACTAAAATTAACGAGCATACTGGTGTATGTAAGTATTAAAATAAACATATATCAAAATTTTGTTTTATTTTTCTCATAATTAATAACTAGTTAAAAATTACAATTTTAGTTTTAAACTTCATTTGATCATAAGATTATCAAGGTTATTATGTGCGGCTCATGTCGCATTCTTGAAACACATTTAAATTCTTAAATTAAAATTCACCAATTTATTGGTTTATATTTAAATATTTGTTTAAAATTTAAATTAAACTACGATATTATAAAATTATTTAAAATATTATTTTATTATTAATGTTCCTAAACTTTATTATTATTTGTATGAATATTTAATTTAAATAATATACACTAGATTTAGTTATTATATATTTCAATAGTGCACTCTATACTAGCACTAAATCATAATAATTTTAACAATAAAACCTGTACCCATTTACTAATTTACATTAAAATATATTGCCTTTAAAGCTATTGATGCATTACTTTAGTTATAAATTCTTATACAATAAAGTAGAGACAATTCAATTTTTAACTCAATGCCACCGATGAAGACATTGATTCAATGATCAAGAATTTAATGTCAGTATCTGTGAATACCGTATGTGAATATTGGTATTGATATCAATTCAAGTTTAACTTCAAATATAATATAATATTATATTAGTAATTTTACATTTTATAAATATTGTGCAAAGTATTGAATACAGTGTTTTCATCCTTGTGTTAAAAATTTATTTAATTATTTGTATGAAAATGTGTTCAATTGACTAATTTCATTAGATTTTTATCATTAGAAATTTTATGTTTGGATCCAAATACTGATTCTATAAAAGTGTCAAAAAAGTGTTTCAAATATTTTTTTATATACAGGTATTTTACATTTTTAATTATTTTTCACACATTAAGTGCAATCAGTGAAAGAGACAGTAGTGTCTGGCCTTAAGTTGTCAAATGTGTCAAATAATTAGAGTAATAAAACAAATATTAATAATAATAAACACAACCTATACAT